AAAGAATGAACGAAAGAGCTGCAGGAAAATCAAAGAGTGATGTGGCCTTGCAGGCACATTCAGCAAAAGAGACCAAAAGCAAAGGAAAGTGTTTCGACAGAGGTAGAGGTGGCTATAACAAATCGAATGGTAGAGGAAACCAAATCGAAGGAAACGTGTCGAATTAAATAAGACCATACCAAGGCAACCAAAGAGGTGGTGTTGCAAATAGAGGAAGAGGTGGTGGTCGAAAACCTGATAAGAGTCACATTTAATGTTACAATTGTCAGAAGTATGGTCACTATTCGAGTGATTTTCCAGAAAAACGAAAGAATCAAGAAAGTGATGCAAAGCTTGCAAAACATGAAGAAGAAGAAGAGATGATGCTGATGGTCACAACAAAAGATGAAGATAGATTCAAGGACTAATGGTACTTGGATTCAGGATGTTCATCACATATGTCTGGAAGGAAAGACTGGTTTGTCAATATAAAGCCCTCAATGAAAAATATGGTAAAATTTGCAAATGACAATACCCTAGCAGCTGAAGGTATTGGTGATATTATGATTATGAGGAAAGATGGCAAAAGGTCAGTAATCTCCAATGTGTTGTACATACCAGGCATGAAGAGAAATTTTCTCAATATAGGGAAGTTGATCGAAAAGAATTATAAAGTGTCAATCGAAGATAAGATGATGAGAGTCGTTGATGTAAATGGGAGATTAATCTTGAAGGCTCCTATGTCTCAGAATCGAACCTTCAAGATTGAACTAAATGTGATGGAGCACAAGTGCCTTTCGACTGCATCTAGCAGAGATGAATGGATATGGTATTATAGACTAGGTCATCTCAACTTCAGAGACATCATAGATTTGAAGAGAAGAAATATGGTTTCAGGATTGCCAGAAATCGACATTCCAAACGAGGTATGTGAGGAATATGTGCAGGCGAAGCAACACAAGAATAGATTCAGCAAGGATGCATGAAGCAGGTCGAAGGCTAGTCTTGAAGTCATATACTCTGATGTATGTGGACCAATCCAGATGAATAAGATGGGAGGTAAAAAATACTTTGTTACATTCATAGATGATTTCAGTAGAAAGTTGTGGACTTATCTGATCAAGAAGAAAAGTGAAGTGATCGAAGTATTTTCCAAGTTTAAGTCTATAGTCGAAAGAAAGAGTGGTTGAAAGCTCAAAGTTTTGAGAACTGATGGTGGTGGAGAATATGTGTCGAAAGACTTCGACAGGCTATGTGAAAAGGAAGGGATTGTGCATGAGGTGGTGCCACCCTATACTCCATAACAAAATGGAATTGCATAAAGGAAGAATCGAACCATCATGAATATGGTGAGAAGTATGTTGAAAGAAAAGAATTTACCTAAAGAGTTTTGGGGTGAAGTTGTTTCGACTGCAACATACATTTTGAACAGATGTCCTACGAAGAAGCTAGAAGGAATTACTCCAGAAGAATGTTGGTCTAGTGTGAAGCCTAGCTTAAGTCATCTGAAGGTATTTGGATCTATTGTACATAGACATGTGCCAGACCAGTTGAGAAGAAAACTCGATGACAAGTCAATTCAAATGATTCTAGTTGGATATCATTCGACCGAAGGCTATAAGTTGTTTGATCCAGACAAAAAAAAGATTGTGATCAGCAGAGACGTGATCATAGACGAGTTTAAAGAATGAGATTTGACTGAAAATGTCAAGAAAGATTCAGTGGGAATCCTATTCGAAGAGCCAGAAACTCAAGTCGAAAGAGAAGTTCGACAAGAGGAACCAACAGATATACCAAGTACAAGCAGACCTTAAAGAACAAGACGCATGTCTGCAAGATTGAAAGATTGTGTGATTACATTATATGATGTGATAAATGATGAAGGTGAGCTATTACATTATGCTTTCTATGCAGATGTCGAACCCGTTAATGCAGCTGAAGCATTGGAGGATTCAAAGTGGGTGAAAGCAATGAACGAAGAAGTGAAGTCTATCAAAGACAACAACACTTGGTCACTTGTCTAATTGCCTCAAGGCAAGAAGACAATTGATTTCAAGTGGGTATACAAAGTGAAAACGAATTCGAAAGGTGAAGTAACTCGACACAAAGCAAGGCTTGTGGCGAAAGGATTTCTACAGAAAGAAGGAATAGACTTCGATGAAGTTTTTGCACTTGTTGCTAGGATCGAAACAATCAGGTTGGTTGTTAGTCTAGCAGAAATAAACAGTTGGCACATATGTCAGATGGACGTGAAGTGTGCATTCCTAAATGGACCCTTAGATGAAGAAGTCTATGTTAAACAATCAGTTGGGTTTGTGAAACATGACAAAGAAAGAAAGGTGTACAGGCTGCATAAAGCCCTGTATGGATTGAAACAAGCTCCAAGGGCTTGGAATAAGAAAATTGATAGTTTTCTAAGGGAGAAGGAATTTGTGAAGTGCACAACTGAACATGGAGTATATGTAAGAAGAAGCAAGAGTAAATTGCTTATACTATGTCTCTATGTAGATGATTTGTTGACAATAGGTAGCTGTAAAAGTAAGATCGAAGACTTCAAAGGTGATCTCAGCAAGGAATTCGAAATGTCTGATTTGGGTGAGATTTCATATTTCCTTGGAATCGAATTCTATAAGAGCAGTAGAGGTTTGATGATGCATCAAAGAAGATATGCAGGAGAAATTTTCAAGAGGTTTGAGATGGAAGAGTGCAACTCAACTTCGACACCTGCAGAACCAAGACTGCAACCGTCGAAAGATGCAGATGCAGATGATGTTGATCCAACCCAATACATAAGACTTATTGGATTATTAAGATACCTTTGTCATACAAGGACTGACTTAGCATACAATGTAGGTATGGTAAGCAGATTCGTGCAAAAGCCAAAGGTATCACATCTAGCAGCAGTGAAGAGGATACTAAGGTATCTCAAAGGAACTTTCGATTATGGCATTTTGTTTCCTGCAGCTGATAAAGGAAAAGAATGCAAGTTAGTGGGATACACCGATTTGAGTTGGTGTAGTGATGCTGAAGATCGAAAGTCAACAGCAAGATATGTGTTTATGCTAGGTGGTGCACCAGTTGCTTGGAATTCAAGAAAGGAACCAGTAGTGGCATTATCATCATGCGAAGAAGAATACATAATTGCTTCTCTTTGTACATGTCAAGCAACTTGGATGGTGAACTTGGTCGAAGAGATAACAGGGAAAAATCATGGAGCAATTACCATGAAGATAGACAGCATGTCAGCTATTAATCTGGCGAAGAACCTAATAGCACATGGTCGAAGTAAGCACATCGAAATGAGGTTCCATTATCTTCGAGAGCAGGTAGCAGATGGGAAGATGAATTTGGAACACTGCAGAACTGAGAATCAGATTGCAGACATCATGACGAAGGGAGTGCAAGTCGAAGTATTCAGAAGACTGAGAGCTATGATGAACATAGATAGTTTAGACACAATGAATTAGGTGGTGTGTTAAATTATAATTCAGTGTGTCGAAAAGATTTGATTTGTTTTAGATTTAAATAGATTTGATTTAAGTCTAGAATAAATTAGATTTGATTTAGTAACAAAAAGATATTTTGGGCTTTGGACTTAGGGTGTAAGCTCAGTTATAAATAGAGGGAGTAACCCCTATTTTTGTAAGCAAGTCAAGCAAGTTAAGCAAGTCAAGTAAGTCAAGCAAGTCAAGCAAGTTGTATTCACAGAATTTGCAGTTGCAAGTGAATAACAAAGTTTTCACAGTTTGTGAGCAGAGAGAAACTCTGCAGAAATTATTTATCTTGTCTTCTTTTCTTTATTTGTCTCATAATTAAATTGTCATTATGGTAGAAATTCATCATAGACTATAGTAAATTTTCAACAATCATCACTTAGATCCAACCAGGTCCCCTTATAAATTATGAATTTACATATGACACATGAACAAAATTGTGTAGACTTATATTAATTGAGTCTATGTAATAACTAAAATTAAAAGTACTCTTGTTAGTAGTACATGATAAAATGCATGAGTTTGTTAATGACAACAAATAATGCTAGTAATTTAGAATATTGTAAAAACACCTATAGTAATTTAAAAGTCACTAACTATTTTTGACTTTTAAAATCTTTTAAACGAAATTCACTAGCTAATTTTCCAATCATTTGTCTAAAATAAGCATTTCATACATAGAAATTCACATTGGCATTACGTAATACACCAACTCATTCTTTCTCATTTTCTCTTTATCAAATTCTAAAATACAACAAAACAATTATCAAAATTATGTACAAATTACTTTATAAAATTTCTCACTTATTGTTATATGCTCTATTTATTACTTAATGACAACTAATCAATAACAAATATAGTCATACAAGTTTCTATCTTTTCATATATACAACAATTCAATAAACTTATATTATCATAATACAACAATTCAATAAACTTATATTTTCTCTTCTCACATATACTCATTGTTCCTAAACCACTTTCTTCCACACATACTTCTTAATTTTAGGCACAAGAAACTCCAAGATGATCTCAACAAATATATACAAAGAGTTGAAGAATTCAAAGCTTTGATGCAATCCCATTAAATTTTAGAACCTAATAATTTGTGTAAGGAAATTTTATCAAAGACCTGGATAAAAAATATTATGATATAGTGTTATGCATTCATCTATGTTATAAGGAAAATTTATCATACAATCTGAGTTGCGATATCAAAATTTTTTTTGTGCTTCTATACTACCAATTTCAGGTATACCATCAAGGTTTTTTGGTCTATACGATTACGAAGGAACCACGGTTAAGATTCATCAGTCACATTCGACCGCGATTGTCTATAACATCAAGGATCATAAGACCAAGTTTGTTTCCAAAACTTGGTTGAGCAAAGGTTTTTTTTCCTTTCACTAATGAGTAATGCAAATACTATGTCTTGAAAGCTTCAAAATGGGGTTGGTTCATAAAACTCTTCAACATTGCATCAATAGACACAAAATAATTAGGTTTTTAAGATAACATCCACAATTCATGGATCAACACAAATGGTGGCAAGTTACATGGTTATTCATCTCTATAATAATGTTTCTTTCATCTTTGGTTCAAACCTTACAAACTTATGATCATGATTCATTAGAAGACTTCTTTTGCAAGCAAGTGAACAAATGTATAAAAAATCCAAAAACAGGTATCTTCTACAACACTTCACTTCCTTCTAACTACACAGGAATGAAAGTTAGAGCTGTTAGAATGAGAACATCATCATTTTACATAAGAGGATTGAATTATAGTCTCTTGAATGTTCCACCACGTGTTGTGCCACAACCAAATAGAAAAAGAATGGTTATACTATATGAAAACTTTGGAAATTGGTCTTCTCATTACTTCAATGTGCCTACTAATTACACAATGGTGGCACCGGTTTTTGGTTTTGTGGCTTACACTTCTTCAAAAAATGCATTCATAGAAAATGAGAAGATGAATCTTGTAACCCAAGGAAAACCTATTTTAATACATTTTCATCATGTCAGGTTACATGGGAAAAATGATACACCAATCTGCGTTAAGTTTTTAGAAAATGGAAGATTGAAATTCAACAACATGAGTAAACCATATGTTTGTGAAGCATTTGGGACAGGACATTATACTCTTGTGATCCCATCTTCATTGTACAACAAGAGTTTATTTGACATTTGGTGGGTTTTAGGGTTTGTTATAGGTTTTGTTGGTTTGGTCTTGTTGGTTTTGGTGTTGGTGACTTTAGTTAAGGCTTCAAAGAAGAGGAAGATTAAAAAATTGGAGAAAAATTCAGAAAATGGTGAGGCTTTTGATACTTTTTGGATTGGTGAAACTAAAATGCCATTGGGTTCAATGGTTAGAACTCAACCTGTTCTAATTGAAAATGATTCATGATCTTGTAGTGTATATATATTAATAATGTTGCTTTTAAATTTAATCCTTGTCATGAAAAACAAAATTATTTCGTACAACTAAAAATGACTTTGACTATACACACAATATATATTTAAATATTTATTATCATGTGCCTAAATGACACGTTGATGTCATGTTTTGTGTTCGTTTTAATTTTTTATATATGCAATAAGCAATTTCATTGATTTTTTATTCCTATCTTTCTCTTCTCTCTTAGTTAATAATAATTAGCACAATAATTTTGACGGGGTCATAATTCAACCACAATATAATCCTATGTTCGATAATTAATGTGAATCATTTCAATAAACAAACAACTTTTTTAGCTTCTCTTGATCGCCGAAAGTTCAAGCCTTTCATTTTCTGCTTTTTTGGGCTCATTTGATTAGTTTTCTTATGAGATTTTTTCATGGTGTTACTATTGCATTTGCATGCATCAGTTCTATCCATTCATTATAAAATCTTTATATGAAAAGAGGCAAAAGACATACAGCAAGACACCATAATCACGGTTAAATGCTATTTTGATGATGCCTAAATCTTGTTTACTAAATATCTTCAACCATATATATTTTGTATTGAATAGAAAAGAGACACAATTTTACATTGTTCAATGATTTCTACTCAATAGACTTGCATTGACTATTTTGAGGGTTCTCTTGTTTCCCCGATGATAAAGATGGAAATAAAGGTATTTATTGTTTAGTGTCTTATTTTAAGAAGATACAATAATATAATGATGAATGAAAAATGCAATAAGGAAAGTTATTGAGAGTGATCATGATTTGTTTATGGCATAGGGCCAACCCAAGGGTCAAGTTGAAGGAAAATCACGATTTAAAATGCAGTGGAAATTAAATTATTTTTTTAGTAATCCTTACGAATGAGTATGGTCAGTGATAGAAACTATTATCTCTTATGACGATTTAGACCTTTGATGCAGTGATCACGAGCGTTGATAAAGAACAACGCCTCTACTCAGTCCACACGAACAGACCGCTTTCAGTCTCAGTGCTAACTGCTACGAATGAATGTTTTGAGTGAGAGTGAGAGAAAATATGGCTAGAGTTTCAAGACCGAATTTTCACCAAACGAAAATGCTTCACCACAAGGGTTCTATTTATACAACCACTTGTGTTGGCTGCAAGCTAAAAGTCCAATTAAGTCTGCAAGCTAAAAGCCCAATTAAGCATACAAACATCATACCTTATGATGTACCGTATATCACTTAAACGCGTGGTACCTTACAATATTTTGTATTCCACTTAAGTGTATCGTACCTTACAGTATTTTACAATTTACTTAAGTGCAACATACCTTACTGTGCTTCTTATTTACTCTATCTCCCAGTCAACCTGTCCTTATGTGTGTGATCCTGTAGATTTTCACGACATTGACAATTATATTAAATCACATTTAACATAATAAACAATGAGTGATATCTAACAACACATCACTGCTACCCAAGTCACGAAAATATCATGTGACATGACAAAAGCTTTCTGTGGTAATATTTGTGTGTATAATTACCCTTTTGCCTTTATGTCTATATTGAACACAAATTATAGACTGTGTCACCCTTGTCCAGTTCAATATTAGACCCTTAGACACTTATCTTGTTACCACTACAAGAAAAAACCTCTCTTGCGACGTGTTTTAGTGACGTGATTATCACGTGACAAAAATTGTCTATTGCGACGTGATAATCACGTCACTACATTTTTTTTAATATTAGATATAATAGTTGTTAACTTATCACGTGGGGTTTCATATTTTTTATTATTAAAAAACAGTTGCGGCATGATAATCACGTCGCAACTTTTAAATTAAAAATAAATAAATAAAAAAGGTATGGCGTTCTGAAGGAGGGAATTTTGAAAATTATAAAAAATTAGTTGCGACGTAAAAATCACGTCGCAAATATTTAAGAGGGAAAATGTCTGACTTTGAAATGATGGGGTGCAAGGTGATTAATTATGGTTTATGACTGTTGGGTGTTGCGACGTGATTATCATGTGGCAAAGTTGTGACGTGATAATCACGTCACTGATACGTTAATAAATCATTACCGTTATGGGTTGCGACGTGAATATCATGTGGCAAATTTATGACGTGATATTCATGTCGCTGAGGTGTTTATATACTTAACACGTTTCATTCTCCAAAAACGTGTTCTTTCTCTTAATATCTCTTCATTCTTTCTTCTTCTTCCCTCTAACCGTTCTTCTTCCCCCACTCCCTATTGTAATCTTCCAATTTTAATTCCAATTTTCAATTTGTTACTTTAGTATCAGGTATAATTTCTTGTTCTTTCATATTTTTCAATTTAATTTAATAATTGTATATAATCTTTATATTTATTCTGATTTAGTTAAAAATTTGTTTTCTTGGTCAAAGATTAAGCAATATTGAAGGGATTCATTGGTAGTAGATTGAACAATATTGACAAAGATTGAAGGAGATTGAAGAAGAGGTATTTTAGTTGTTTAATTTTTTTCCTGAAATTTTTATTAGATTATTGTATTTTAGTTGTATTAGTTATATTTTACTTTTTTCGTTGTTACATATATTTTTAAAATAGATATATAATATATATTTTGATAAAACAGAAAGAAAAAAACGAAATATTTATTTATTTTTTTAAAACAGAAAATATATAATGTATTTTAAAAAAAAACACCACACACACACACGCGCACATGCACACGCACGCGCACATGCACGCGCACGCGCACGCGCACGCACACGCACACGCACACACACACACACACACAGAGAGATAGACACAGACACACACAGACAGACACACACACAGACACACACACACAGACACACACAGACAGACACAGACACACAGACACACACACAGACACACAGACACACACACACACACACAGACACAGACACAGACACACACAGACACACACACACACACAGAGAGAGAGAGAGAGAATAGAAAAATAAAATGAAATATATATTATATATATTTTTATAAAATAAAAAAATATTTTTTTTAAACAAAATATTTTTTAAATAGAATATATTAATATTTTATGTTTTATAAATTATATATGTTTTGTAATTAAAATAACATTTATAATTAAAATATTATGTGACAATATATTATATATTAAAGAGTATATAATTTGTTGATATATTAAAATCACATTTGTAATTAAAAAGTATTAAATTTGTTGTAAATAAAATCACATTTGTTTATATATTAAATGTTTATTGTTAATGTTTATTTATAGTTAACATATTATGTGAGAGTATATTATATATAAAATAGTATAAAATTTGTTGATATATTAAAATCACATATGTAATTAAAAAGATAATGATTGTATAAATGTGCACTATGAAATATTATCGGTATGGTCGTAGTTGGATGTACGGTAGATTGTATTCAGGAACACGTGTACTTAAACCCCATTTTATAGAAGGAGTTAATGAGTTTATCACGTGGACATTTTCTCAGGAATGTTGTCGAAGCGAAGGAGGAGTTAGGTGCCCCTGTCTTAAATGTGAATTTAGACCAATAATTAGTGACTCAGAGGAAGTAGCACATCATTTATATAAAAGTGGTTTCGTTGAAAATTATTGGGTTTGGACGTATAATGGTGAAGAACTGCCGAGTAATGTACCAGAGAATAGAAACACGCATGCTTCAAGTGGTCGACCGCCTATGGAATATGAGGAAAACTTTAATCTGATCAGTGAGATGGTTGAGGATGCTTTTGGTGGAACGCGATATATGATCAACCTGAAGATTTTGACGGGGAAGAGTTTCCAAATGAGGAAATGCAAAGATTTTATCTGTTGTTGAATGAGATAAATATGTCGTTTTTCGAGGGTTCGTCAGACTCAAAGTTATCAATCTGTGTAAGATTATTGGCCGCCAAGTCAAATTGGAATGTTGCTGATCAGTGTTTGAAACATTTCACAAAAATGATATCAGACTCCACCACAATGAAAGACAACTTGCCTACAAGTTTTTATGATGCAAAGAAGTGGATGTTGGGTTTAAAAGTAAGAAAGATTGATTGTTTCATTAGTGGTTGTATGTTGTTTTATGACAATGAGTTTGATACTTAAGATGGGTTGTTGGAGGAATGCAAGTTTTGTAAGAGTCCAAGATATCAAGTTTGCAGTAGAGCCATTAACAACAAGCAAAAGTGTGTAGCAGTAAAGTCCATATTTTATCTTCCGATAATACCAAGGTTAAAAAGAATATTTTCTTCAATGCATAGTGCAAGTCAAATGATATGGCATCATACAAACCAAACAAGTTCAGGCACTATGCAACATCCATATGATGGCGAGGCATGGAAGCACTTTGATCGGACATATCCCGATTTTGCCGCAGAACCTAGAATGTCAGACTTGGATTATTCTCTGATGGTTTTTCCCCATATGTGCAAGCGTCAGGAAGTGCGTATTCTTGTTGGCCAATTATTGTAACCCCTTACAAACTCCCTCCTGAGATGTGTATGACAAAGCTGTACATGTTTCTGACGTGCGTCATTCCAGGGCCGTCCAGTTCAAAAGCACGAATCGATGTGTACTTACAATCTTTAATTTATGATTTGAAGAGGTTGTGGATTGGAGAATGAACTTATGATATATCCCATAAACAAAATTATACTTTGTGAGATGCCTTGATATGGACCATTAATGACTTTCCAGCATATGACATGTTGTCTGGTTAGGATACACATAGAAAAATGGGTTATCCGCATTGCATGGTATACACCAAAGCGTTTACGTTGGATAAAGGGGGGAAAAGCTTATGGTTTGATTGTCACTGTAGATTCCTACCAACAAATCATCCCTATAGAAGAAATAAGAATTTTTTTTAAAAAGACGAACGAGTAACAGATCTGCCTCCGCCTCGATTGTCACTGGGTGATATATGGAACCAATTTTGTGAACGACCAAAATTTACAGATACCGGTAAAGCATGTAAAATTGAAGGA